AAATTTTCATAAAACAATTGGTCAGAGTTGCATACCATGCACGAGGTGCTTGTTTCAACCCATAGACTGCCTTATCTAAAATATAACAATGATCAGGATACTTATCATTGACGAAACCAGGTGGTTGTTTGATATAAATCGTTTCCTCCAGAACTTTGTTGAGGAATGAACATTTGACATCGATTTGATACACATCGAAATCCTTATGCGCTGCATAAGCAAGAAAAATTTGTACCGCCTCGAGTCCTGTGACAGGGGAAAAGGTTTCCTCATAATCAATACCTTCCTGTTGAGAGTAATGTTTTATGACTAATTGTGCTTTATTTCGAATCACATTGCCTTCTTTATCAGTTTTATTTTTAAAAATCCATTTAAGACCAATTAACGAAACATCCTTTGGTTTAGGAATTAACCTCCAAACTTTGTTTCTGTAACAACCCAAATTTTCAAATAATTTTTTTTTTATTTTTAATTAATCAAAACATTCCCATAAAATGTAAAATATCAAATACAATTGTTTTCAAATCCATAACATCAACATTTTATTTCAAATATCAGAGTGTCCCATCAAAATCAAATGTCGGAGAGTGTATGCCGTGCCATCAAGCCTTTCCCTTGCCCTTAGGCTTAGAAGTACCTGAAACAAATCAACAAACTGTAAGCTAATGCTTAGTGAGTTTCCCAGAGCATACCCCACATAATTCACAAAATCACATAAACCATATTAGCTATAAAAGCTACATAAACCACATAAGCCATGCGGACAACATATCAGGATGCCATGGAAACCCTCCAAGGTCTTATACCTAATGCCACTGGAACCCCCATGTGGTCTTAACTACCTGCCATGGGAACCCCACATGGTCTTCCTGCCATGGGAACCCCCACATGGTCTCAATATATTGCCACGGGAACCCCTCGGGGTCTTTCATGCAAATGTCATACCAACATAACGCATTATCAATCAATAATCCACATAACATAACATGGGCCAGCCTTGGTGCCTTATACCCATTGGTATGGTGAGAAGACTCACCTATCACAAATGATGAACTGATAAGATAAGATCAGATAAGTCCCAACGTGCAGCTCCAACTCAACTGGCTATAATTATCATATGACTACTTTGTCAAAATCCGAACATACCAATAATATCCTCAAAGTCAAACTTGGTCAACCATGGTCAAAGTGAAGGTCAACAGTCCATGTTGACCCAACTTGTCGAGTGCATCTAGCAACTCGTCGAGTTCCTTCAGTGTTCAGAAAACTGGGGAAAAACCCGATCCAACTCGTCGAGTTATCTTATCAACTCGGCGAGTTTACCCTATAGACCGAAAATGGGAAAACCCGATCCAACTCGTCGAGTTGCCAGGGCAAGTCATCGAGTTTTCCATTGTCTTAACATATTCAGTCCTTCCAGCCGAATCCAAACCACAAACTACAGATCCAGTCCCCTAGGACTGAAATAGCACGTAAAGTTGCAAACTTTACGTGCATGCAAGGCCTCAAGAGGCTAAAATACTTAAACGAAGTCTCATACAAGGTTTAGGACATAGATAAGGGCTTAGACTAGATAAAGTGAGCAACTTTATATCCATGGGGGCCTAGAGGTGTCTAGATCTGGAACCATATCCCCATGACAAGTCCAAATCCGAGATTGACACCATTATGCACCAAAAGTGACAATATACTTCCATAAGATGAGATCTAAGAAAATAAGGATCAAGGTAGCAACTTTATACCTCTAGATGGTTGCCTTAGCAGAGTAGACGCTGGGTCTATGTCCTTCTCCTCACTTCCATCTCTTCAATCTTGAAGTTTCCTTACAAAAATCACAAGATTCACTCTCCAAGGCTCACACACACTCAAAAAGCACTAAAACGCGACTAGGGTTTCTCTCAAGATCGTTAGGACGATGAGGGAGGCCACAAATGATCCATAAGTTCCTTAAATAGGGTACACACCCCTAAAAATTAGGGTTTTCCTTTACAATGTCTACTCGTCGAGTTGGAGCCTTCCAACTCGTCGAGTAGACCCTATGTCCCGCGTCCAATATCGATCTTTACTCGTCGAGTTGGGCTTCCCAACTTGTCGAGTCCTAGTGCAAAACTCTAAAAACTTGAAAAATAATGATACCTGGAACAAGCGTTACAGTTTCGTTCGAATTCATCTAGTTCATATTGCATTGCAACAAGCCAATCATAATGTTCTAATGCAACCTTTATTGTTTTTGGTTCTAGCTTTGAAATGAACACATTAAACATCCAATATTCTTGATGAACATTCAGTACTTAATTTTTAGCTAAAATTTGGGCTCGTTTCAAGACATCAGAATTCTGATAAACAAGAACTTGTTGTTTTGGATGATCTCGTGTCCACTTATCCAATATATCAAAATCTAATGGCGCATATTCCAAAATACCATCCGCTTCTGAACCTTCTACTGCATTCGAAATATTGTTAATGACATCATGAAAATCATTAGATTTATCATTGATGTTATCAGGATTTGATCCACTTGGCTCCCCCTCTACCAATGGATTTGAGTTTTGATGCTCCCCTTCAACACCAGCATGGTCCAACACACGCTTGCCCTCGACTTGAGCGATAGTACGCATATGCTCCCCCTCAACAGTTGAATCATGATTGTCATCGTGTAATATCGAGCTTAAGCGCTCCCCGTCCATTTGATCATTGACATCAGTCTCTCTAGATTAATTTTGTTGCGAAGGATGGCCCTATGGTGACGTTTGAAGACAACAACAAAGAAAGAACTAAGGGATTTGGATTGATTTGGTACAAAACCATGGAAGTCAAGGGTGTTTCTTATGTCAAGGTTCGAAGACATAACCTTATTTCAATCAATGAGCAAGGAGGAAGGAAACATCATTGATTCAAAGAACATAATCTTTCTTACTACTATGAGGAAGAATAACATTTATGTGCTTGATGTGTGCGTTGTTTAATAGAAATTTATTGCTTTGTAATTTCAACACTTTATTTATTTGCTGTCAAAACTACAAAAACAAGTCATTTTCTTTAGAAAACCCAAGCTTTCATTTTTACCAAAGGAGTATATGTTGCATGCATATATTACTCTAATTATTGATCACTAGTGTTTTCTTTTCTCTCAATCTTCATGTCTCAAGATCATCCATCTTCTGAATTTAAATTTGACCTATATTCTTCTTCTCTAAAGAAAAGACCGGCTCGCCTAACCCTGCACACCATTTGTTGCAAGATCTTATCATTGATATTAGTCTCATGAACCATTCTTAGAGGCCATACATCTTTTCTTTAGCGTCTTCATCCTTCAGCGTGAAGATGATGATTAGTTTGATTCGCATTGAGCATCTTACTGTCGACACAATATAGGAAAGAACTGTGTCTGAACAAATTTTTCTGAATTCTCTCCTTGCTTTCTCTTGAACCCTCTAATTGTTGCAACGTAGTATAGTAAAGATAATGATTATGGCACATCTAATTTCCATAGTCGTTGTCATTGCTACACAGACCTCCATCTGAGTTCCAAAGAATTCATTGTCAAGACAATGATTATTGCCTCTCATCATGTAGCTCATAATATTTTTCCCTTCGAGTCTTCTCCTGCTGACTTTCATAACTCGAAGGTACAAAGATTAGAACCTTTTAACTCGTTGGTTAGTTGAAACTATCGAGTGCAAAAAATTAAGTTCTTATAAATAAATACTCAATACCCAAGTAGGCTTATTATGATGAATATGAAGCGTGGAATGCATTAGAATAGCCTCATATTCAATGGATAAGAACATCTCATTCTCCATATATTAGTGCTTAAATCTCTATATTTTGATGTGTTTGGAGGTGTGAAATGTGTACTAAATTGTATGTCTTTTATAGAAAAAGGTTTATGTTTCAAAAATATTGAAAAGAGGAAGAAGTTTATGAGCATTCAAATCAAAAGATACACCATATCGGGTCTTTATGTTTTTCTTGAAAAAGTTGCATGTTTCTCCTTTTTGACCATTTGTTTTGACTATTTCTTTTAGTCTTTTTTTATTGCCATTTGTTTCTAATTTTGTCTTGTGAGGTATCAAAAGAATTAATGGTGAATCTTTGATTCTAGTATGAAACTGCATAAATCTAATATGCTAGGAGTTTAACCACTCCCTATTGATGTGTTAGTGATTTTCTATGATTCACACTAATTTGAACATCATTGTGATTGACACATCCTATATCTCTCGTTACAAATCTTTCATCATAAAACTTAATGATTCACTGTATGATACAATATACATATAAAAGTTGGAAATTTTATGTCAATGGTTAAGCTATGTACCGTAGTTTATCACATGCACCAACACCCTCTTGCCTCCGTTTTCTTCTTAAAAGTTTAATGATTCAGCATAAGATACCAGACGCTGACGAGAACTTGAAAAATATGTGTCAGTGGGTATATCATGTATTGTGGTATATTACACACACCTACCCACTCTTTTCCTACACTCTATGCCTATGATTGCATTTCATACTGGAATTTATTACACGCATCATACCGTTCTCTCTCAAAACTTTCTTTTAATAAAAGTAGTTAATGATTCAGGATATCAGACCATACGCTGATGATATTTCACAACATTGTGTAAGTGATCCACTATTGCAACAACACAATAGTATGATACACCAAAATTCCTTCCACTATTTCCTGTATGACATGTACACCAATGTCGACACTATTGTCTTGTCTATAATGATCTTTGCTCACTAAATGCTTCTTGTTAGTCAGTTTAACTTTATATCATAAAATTATCTTAAATAGTAACTTTTTAAATTTGGGGATACGAAACCTCTCTAGATTACTGAGAAATTTGGGCCTAATTTTTATCTCTTATGATTACTTCTCAACGGTCTTTTTAGGGTATAAAAGGAATCAAAATCATCATGAACAATTTACATTGTCAATTATCATCAAAAGCCATTGTTTGTCTCTACTCTCAAGAACCCTAATCACATTCTTCATGGCTCCTAATGTTGTTCTCTACACCTATGCTCGCAAACCAAACTCCATCAAAGTTGTTCGAACTCTAGATACTCCTATTGTCATCATGCCCAACAATGTGGCGATTTTTCCAAAAATCCAGAAAAGTTTTCAGAACAAGGGATTTGAAGATTTTGCGAACTATCTTACCACATGTCCACTTTGTTACTATCTTTCTGATGTAGTTGATCCTTTTTTTCCACAACATGTTTTTGAGTTCTACTATACTTCTACATTCTCCAGTCCCGGAGTGATTGTTGGCACAATAGGAGATGGTGAGTATCCCATCTCAATGTCTGTGACGGATGACCGAATAACCTTACGTCTTCCAAGTCAATATGAATACTTTCCTTTTCCCTCTATGGATGAATTGCATGTTGTACTTGAAATTTTCGATTATTATTTTGATGCATAAGAAAATCACAATGCTCGTCGTATGCATCTTCCAAGTACATGGAAGTTTCTTACTGGTGTCCTTAGGAAGTGTCTCACTCACAAAACAAGAAGTCTTGATCAGATGAACTCTTTTGAACATTGTATCCTTTAGTATGTCATCAAGAATAAGCAACTAGATTTTGCCTAACTTATCTTTGATCAAATTTCTGAGATTATCAAAGGAAGTAAAAGATCTACTGATGTTCCTTACCCTCGCTGGTTTTACACTGATATTTCAGTATATTGGCGTCAAGTATTACGATGAAGTAGTTAAAAATTGGGCTCATTTCTTTACATCTTCATAGTTGTTTAACCAGGGTCCTGAAGACGAATGGAGCATTACAATGGGAATGCAGAATTGGATTAATGCTCCATACGAGTGTAAATGATTTTAAGAAAGAGAATGAGCATTACAATGACGAATGGAGCATTACTCATGTAGTTCGATCAAAGGATGATGAGATGGAACACAATGCCCAAGAATTCTAAGAAAGAGAATGAGGATCCACCAGCTGACACTGAGAGTGTAACAATGTAAATTTTCAAATCAATTTTTTCAAATTTAAAACACATTTTTCTCAATTCGAAACATCTCAAAGTGTCATAATATCAAGTCATCAAAGCACATATCCAAAAACTGCATATACAGCAAATCCAGGATCCTCTCAAACATGACTCAAATCTCTGATGTGTGTACAATCAAGTCGGCACCTTCCCGTGATCCTGAGAAGTACGTGAAACACATAACACATTAAGCACGAAGCTTAGTGAGTTCCCCAAAATACCACTCATATCTCATTAGAATCTCATGGCTATACTCAGATAAGACCCTCTGGTCAAATGTGTCTCAGTGGGACCCTCTGGTCCCACAACTAAGCAACTCAACATAATACACAGCATACATTTCACAAAGAAAAATAACAGGATATCTCAATACATAGTATATGCACATAAGACCCTCTGGTCACACATAGGCTACTACTCAAGGTAATTAAAGTGAGAAGACTCACCTCGTAAGAACTCAGATAATCTCGAACTCGAATCACCCGTCTAGCCTTCGCCTAACACAACGATAACTATCTTTAATTAATAAGGCTCTCACTGAAGCTAAACTAACCCTTCTACAAACTCACAGAAGGGCCAAAGACCATTTTACCCCTCTATGGCCTTAATAGTCTACAAATTGACCAAATCCTAATAGTCAACCAAAAGTCAACGGCAGGGAGTACGCTGCGCGTACCAACTCTCTACATTGGGCGTACTTGGCTGCCATTCATGCATCGGGGATGCTCGACCCCTACGCTCTGCGTACCGGGATTACGCCCAGCGTATGTCCCAGTTTCACCCTACTCACTCATTTGGTCTTAATCAGTTAAGACCTTGGCCCATATTACAGATCTGGACTCCCTAATAGCTCTTACTCCATAAAGTCGGTGACTTTAAGTTTTTGCATGGCTGGAAAGGTCACAAACACACAAAATACCCACTCTCTTTTCTCAACAAGCTCATAGCTCTTGCATGGCTTGATACCAACGACCAAGATTGGATTTTTATGGAATTACACCACAAAATACACTCAAAGGGGGTGGATCATAGTCTTTGGAGTACAATATCACATAAAGTCTCCAACTTTTGGGACAAAACCCTAAAATACCCTACTATGATGCAACAACCAAAAGAGTGAAAAAGCTTTGAGCTTTATACCTCAAAATGAAGCTCCACACTCAAATAAGCTCAAATCCAAGGCCTGGAATCCCACTCCTTCTTCTTCAAGACTCCTTCTTCACCCCAAAGAAACTCAAGAATACTCTCAAGGCTCTCAAATGCACTCACAAGCTCTAAGAACGAAAACTAGGGTTTAGGAGGGTTGGTGACTGAGACTGTTGGCCAGGAATGAGGCCATCATATCCTTTAAATAGGGGACTCTTCCTAAATTAGGGTTTTCACTCCGGGCCTAGTACGCCCAGCGTACCCTCTGGTACGCCCAGCGTACTAGGTGGCTTCCGCGTCAAATGCACGCATATGAGTACGTTGAGCGTACACTTGCGTACGCCCCACGTACTCATTCACTACCTTTGCTCACAAAGGGACTAAAATGGCCAATTACTCAAATGATCAAGGGTTAACTAGGTAATACCTGAACCTGGGATGTTACAATTCTCCCCCACTAGAATCAGACTTCGCCCTCAAAGTCATGCTCTGGAAATAACTCTGGATACTTCTCTCGCATCTCGGACTCTGGATCCCAAGTGTACTCGGACCCCTTCCGATGTTGCCACTGGACCTAAACCAGGGGCACCTCCTTGTTCCTCAGAACCTTCACCTTCCGGTCCAAAATCGTAATCGGTCTCTCAATATATTTCAGGCTCGCATCCACCTGAATATCCTCTAATGGTACCAATGTCGTCTCGTCGGCTACACACTTCCTCAACTGGGATACGTGGAAGGTGTTATGAATCTGAATCAACTCTGCAGGTAGCTCCAACCGGTAAGCTACCTTACCCACTCTGACGGTCACCCTGAAAGGAACAATGTATCGGGCCCCCAGCTTGCCCCGTTTCCTGAACCGAATCACTCCCTTCCATGGGGATACCTTCAGGAGGACAAAATCCCCAACCTGGAACTCTAGCTCGGATTGTCTCCAATCTGTATAACTCTTCTAACGACTCTGGGCCGTAAGTAATCGCTGTCTAACTTGCTGAATCTGCTTGTTCATCTTGAGCACTATCTCAGTGCTCCCCATCACTCTCTTCCCCACCTCTCCCTAAAAGATGGGAGTTCGATATCTCCTCCCGTACAGAAGCTCGAAAGGCAGCATGCCAATACTGGAATTACAGCTGTTGTTGTATGAAAACTCAGCCAAGGGCAAATAAGTGTCCCAACTTCCACTGAAGTCCATAACACATGTACGCAGCATGTCCTCGAGCGTCTGAATCGTCCGCTCACTCTGTCCGTCTGTCTGAGGGTGGTAAGCAGTACTGAAGTGCAATCGGGTACCCAGCTCGTCATGAAACTTCTTCCAAAACCTGGAAGTAAAACGTACATCCCGATCTGACACTATTGATGTCGGCACCCCATGTCCGACCACCACCTCCCGTACATAGATCTCGGCCAACCTTTCTGCAGAAGAGCTCTCAATGACAGCAAGGAAGTGAGCACTCTTAGTCAACCGGTGTACAATCATCCATATTGCGTCAACCCCACGCGTAGTTCTTGGTAACTTGGTGATAAAATCCATGGAAATCTGTTCCCACTTCCACTGGGGAACCTCTAGTGGCTGCAGCTTGCCATGAGGACGCTGGTGCTCGGCCTTAACCCGGCGACAGGTCAAGCACCTCTCAACTACCCATGCCACATCTCTCTTCATACAGGGCCACCGATAATCTCTTTTCATACCCAAATACATCTTCGTGGCTCCCGGGTGGATCAAGAATCTCGATCTATGTGCCTCCTCCAACAATACAAGGCGAGCTCCACCTGTATAGGGCACCCAAATCCGCCCATGGAAAGTCATAAGCTCACGACTGTCCATCACAAACTCAGAAACTTTCCCAATCACACGCTCTCTCTTGCGGTTCTCCGGTCTCACCGCCTCCACCTGAGCCTCTCGGATGGTATCTAAGACCAGAGTCATCACCGTCATCCTCATACACACATCCCGGATCGGAGCGCTCTCGGCTCTGCGACTCAAGGCGTCAGCTACCACATTAGCCTTTCTTAGGTGATATAAGATCTCACAGTCATAGTCCTTCACTACATCCAACCATCTCCTCTGCCTCATGTTCAGATTGGGCTGATCCATCAAGTACTTCAGACTCTTGTGGTCCGTGTATATGGTGCATCGGACACCATAAAGATAGTGGCGCCAAATCTTGAGGGCGAACACAACCGCCCCCAACTCCAGATCGTGGGTGGGATACCTCGTCTCATGACCCTTCAGCTGCCTCGATGCATATGCCATCGCATGCCCCCTCTGCATCAACACCGCGCCCATCCCGGCTATAGAAGCATCACAATACACCACAAAGTCCTCCAATCCCTCGGGACGGGCTAACACCGGGGCTTCGCACAATCTCTGGCGAAAGGTCTCAAATGAGGCCTGCTGCTCGGGACCCTAAGTAAAGGCAACACCCTTCCGAGTCAACATGGTGAGAGGAACGACAATATTGGAGAAATCTCTGATGAACCTCCGATAGTAGCCGGCTAAACCCAAAAAACTCCTGATCTCGGACGGAGATCTCGGCACCTCCCAACTCATAACTGCCTCAATGTTGGCCGGGTCGACCAATATCCCATTCTGATTAACGAGATGTCCCAGGAACCGGACCTCTCGTAACCAAAAATCACATTTGGAGAATTTGGCATATAGCCTCTCCGTCCTCAAAACTCCCAGAACCTCTGTAAGATGCTCCTTGTGCTGCTCCCTGGACCTCGAGTACACAAGAATATCGTCGATGAACATGATCACCGATCGATCCAACATGGGCCTGCACACCCGGTTCATGAGGTCCATGAACGCCTCCGGTGCGTTGGTGAGCCCGAAGGGCATCACCACACACTCGTAGCGCCCATAACGAGTCCTAAAATCCGTCTTCGGATTATCCTCCTCGCAGACTCTCATCTGATGATATCCATAATCTCAAATCAATCTTGGAGAACCAAGATGCCCCCTGCAACTGATCGAACAAATCGTCGATCCTCGGAAGTGGATAACAGTTTTTGACCGTCAACTTGTTCAACTCCTAGTAATCAATGCACATCCGGTGTGAACAATCATTTTTCTTGACAAAAAGGATCGGAGCTCCCCACGGTGAGCTACTCGGTCTGATGAACCCTTTCCCCAGCAGCTCCTGGAGCTGTGAGGATAACTCTTGTATCTCTGGCGGCGTAAGGCGATATGATGCCTTGGCAATAGGCACCGCACCCGGAATCAAATCAATCCAGAACTCCACCTGCCTCTCGGGAGGCACACCCGGCAAC